TTGCGGGGGAAAGTGATTAGGCTCGGCAGGGAGTACATTTTGGAGCGCTACGCTCCGCCTTAAACCATTAGGAGCAGAGCTCCCCTATGGGGCGGAGCTCCACGATATAGAACGATTAGTTACCGGAGTGTAACTCCAGTTCTATGAGTGGAGCGGAGCCCCATAGGACTTAAGGCCCTGCCGACCCTCTCTAGTCTCGCTGAAGAAAAATATCTCGGGAGGCTGATTGAGGGGAGGCACCCCCTCTTATAGGGACACCTGTACTCCTATTGGCTGTAGGTGTGTGCATAATTTTGTCTCAGGCTGCTGCTGCCTTAGGGCAGAGGGTAAACCATTAGGAGCAGAGCTTCCCTATGGGGCGGAGCTCCACTCATAGAACTGGAGTTACACTCCGGTAACTAATCGTTATATACCCTTTGTTGGCAATGACACAGGTCAAACGTTTTCTGTAAGTCTTCACAAGGTTTTCACACACTGTTGCTGGTATTTTGGCCCATTCCTCCATGCAGATCTCCTCTAGAGCAGTGATGTTTTGGGGCTGTCGCTGGGCAACACGGACTTTCAACTCCCTCCAAAGATTTTCTATGGGGTTGAGATCTGGAGACTGGCTAGGCCACTCCAGGACCTTGAAATGCTTCTTACGAAGCCACTCCTTCGTTGCCCGGGCGGTGTGTTTGGGATCATTGTCATGCTGAAAGACCCAGCCACGTTTCATCTTCAATGCCCTTGCTGATGGAAGGAGGTTTTCACTCAAAATCTCACGATACATGGCCCCATTCATTCTTTCCTTTACACGGATCAGTCGTCCTGGTCCCTTTGCAGAAAAAACAGCCCCAAAGCATGATGTTTCCACCCCCATGCTTCACAGTAGGTATGGTGTTCTTTGGATGCAACTCAGCATTCTTTGTCCTCCAAACACGACGAGTTGAGTTTTTACCAAAAAGTTCTATTTTGGTTTCATCTGACATTCTCCAAATCCTCTTCTGGATCATCCAAATGCACTCTAGCAAACTTCAGACGGGCCTGGACATGTACTGGCTTAAGCAGGGGGACACGTCTGGCACTGCAGGATTTGAGTCCCTGGCGGCGTAGTGTGTTACTGATGGTAGGCTTTGTTACTTTGGTCCCAGCTCTCTGCAGGTCATTCACTAGGTCCCCCCGTGTGGTTCTGGGATTTTTGCTCACCGTTCTTGTGATCATTTTGACCCCACGGGGTGAGATTTTGCGTGGAGCCCCAGATCGAGGGAGATTATCAGTGGTCTTGTATGTCTTCCATTTCCTAATAATTGCTCCCACAGTTGATTTCTTCAAACCAAGCTGCTTACCTATTGCAGATTCAGTCTTCCCAGCCTGGTGCAGGTCTACAATTTTGTTTCTGGTGTCCTTTGACAGCTCTTTGGTCTTGGCCATAGTGGAGTTTGGAGTGTGACTGTTTGAGGTTGTGGACAGGTGTCTTTTATACTGATAACAAGTTCAAATAGGTGCCATTAATACAGGTAACGAGTGGAGGACAGAGGAGCCTCTTAAAGAAGAAGTTACAGGTCTGTGAGAGCCAGAAATCTTGCTTGTTTGTAGGTGACCAAATACTTATTTTCCACCATAATTTGCAAATAAATTCATTAAAAATCCTACAATGTGATTTGCTGGAAAAAAAAAATCTCAATTTGTCTGTCATAGTTGACGTGTACCTATGATGAAAATTACAGGCCTCTCTCATCTTTTTAAGTGGGAGAACTTGCACAATTGGTGGCTGACTAAATACTTTTTTTCCCCACTGTAACTCTCGGTCTTCCTTTCCTGTGGCGGTCCTCATGAGAGCCAGTTTCATCATAGCGCTTGATAGTTTTTGCAACTGCACTTGAAGAAACGTTCAAAGTTCTTGAAATGTTCCGTATTGACTGACCTTCATGTCTTAAAGTAATGATGGGACTGTTGTTTCCTTTGCTTATTTGAGCTGTTCTTGCCATAATATGGACTTGGTCTTTTATGAAATAGGGCTGTCTTCTGTATACCCACCTACCTTGTCACAACACAGCTGATTGGCTCAAATGCATTAAGAAGGAAAGGAATTCCACAAATTAACTTTGAACAAGGCACACCTGTTAATTGAAATGCATTCCAGGTGACTACCCCATGAAGCTGGTTGAGAGAATGCCAAGAGTGTGCAAAGCTGTCATCAAGGCAAAGGGTAGCTACTTTGAAGACTCTCAAAATAATATAATATTCCATATGTGTTATTTCATAGTTGATGTCTTCACTATTATTCTACAATGTAGAAAATAGTAAAGATAAAGAAAACCCTAGAATGTGTAGGTGTGTCCAAACTTTTGACTGGTACTGTATGTCTAACTATTTACATTTTTCATAACCCAAAATATAACAATGTTACTCCATTGTTTACAAACAACAAGAATTTAAACAAACAATGACTAGCTTCAAAATACACTGCTCAAAAAAATAAAGGGAACACTTAAACAACACAATGTAACTCCAAGTCAATCACACTTCTGTGAAATCAAACTGTCCACTTAGGAAGCAACACTGATTGACAATACATTTCACATGCTGTTGTGCAAATGGAATAGACAACAGGTGGAAATTATAGGCAATTAGCAAGACACCCCCAATAAAGAAGTGGTTCTGCAGGTGGTGACCACAGACCACTTCTCAGTTCCTATGCTTCCTGGCTGATGTTTTGGTCACTTTTGAATGCTGGCGGTGCTTTCGCTCTAGTGGTAGCATGAGACGGAGTCTACAACCCACACAAGTGGCTCAGGTAGTGCAGCTCATCCAGGATGGCACATCAATGCGAGCTGTGGCAAGAAGGTTTGCTGTGTCTGTCAGCATAGTGTCCAGAGCATGGAGGCGCTACCAGGAGACAGGCCAGTACATCAGGAGATGTGGAGGAGGCCGTAGGAGGGCAACAACCCAGCAGCAGGACCGCTACCTCCGCCTTTGTGTAAGGAGGAGCAGGAGGAGCACTGCCAGAGCCCTGCAAAATGACCTCCAGCAGGCCACAAATGTGCATGTGTCTGCTCAAACGGTCAGAAACAGACTCCATGAGGGTGGTATGAGGGCCCGACGTCCACAGGTGGGGGTTGTGCTTACAGCCCAACACCGTGCAGGACGTTTGGCATTTGCCAGAGAACACCAAGATTGGCAAATTCGCCACTGGCGCCCTGTGCTCTTCACAGATGAAAGCAGGTTCACACTGAGCATGTGACAGACGTGACAGAGTCTGGAGATGCCGTGGAGAATGTTCTGCTGCCTGCAACATCCTCCAGCATGACCGGTTTGGCGGTGGGTCAGTCATGGCGTGGGGTGGCATTTCTTTGGGGGGCCGCACAGCCCTCCATGTGCTCGCCAGAGGTAGCCTGACTGCCATTAGGTACCGAGATGAGATCCTCAGACCCCTTGTGAGACCATATGCTGGTGCGGTTGGCCCTGGGTTCCTCCTAATGCAAGACAATGCTAGACCTCATGTGGCTGGAGTGTGTCAGCAGTTCCTGCAAGAGGAAGGCATTGATGCTATGGACTGGCCCGCCCGTTCCCCAGACCTGAATCCAATTGAGCACATCTGGGACATCATGTCTCACTCCATCCACCAACGCCACGTTGCACCACAGACTGTCCAGGAGTTGGCGGATGCTTTAGTCCAGGTCTGGGAGGAGATCCCTCAGGAGACCATCCGCCACCTCATCAGGAGCATGCCCAGGCGTTGTAGGGAGGTCATACAGGCACGTGGAGGCCACACACACTACGGAGCCTCATTTTGACTTGTTTTAAGGACATTACATCAAAGTTGGATCAGCCTGTAGTGTGGTTTTCCACTTTAATTTTGAGGGTGACTCCAAATCCAGACCTCCATGGGTTGATACATTTGATTTCCATTGATAATTTTTGTGTGATTTTGTTGTCAGCACATTCAACTATGTAGAGAAAAAAGTATTTAATAAGATTATTTCATTCATTCAGATCTAGGATGTGTTGTTTAAGTGTTCCCTTTATTTTTTTGAGCAGTGTATATTCTGTGTTTCCTTACGTCTGGAGCACTGTCTATGAATGTTGGTTACATTTCCCTAGCCCTATCCCTCATCTGTATACCATAACAAATGGCGTGGACAGCATTTTGTGCTTTTTTAAATCCCAGAATGTAGTTTTAACTGGACAGGGTGAGACAGAGTTAGACAAGCATGGCTTATGGGGACAGGACGGTGACACTGGGGTGGAACAGAAGGGATTACTCTGTGGGGACAGTCACAATGAAGAGGGGTCACTACAGTGGGAACACGCACACACAGAACAGACACACACAGAAGACACACACACAGAACAGACAACACGCACACACGGACGCACACAGAAGACACACATACACAGAGACATACACACACACGCTTTCCACCTGACTTGTGATTCAGTTAGAAGAGAGAGAGAGAGACAGAAATAGAAAGAGAGTAAAAGAGAGACAGAAAGAGAAAGAGAGTAAAAGAGAGACAGAAAGAGAGAGAGTGAGGGCGTGAGAGCTTGGTCAGCATAAACAAGAACACATACCAGGTTTGAATGTGATGAGGCAGGATCTGTTGGTACACGTCCCCTCTGGAAATATCATTATCTGCACGCATACACACACACACACACACACACGCGCACCCATGCAGTATTAGATAGGGGATATAGCCATCATTGAATCAGTTTTTGCCATAACAAAGATAGCATGGCCACAGCAGAAAACAAAACTATATTTAGCTACATCTCGTCTTATCTAAACACAGTACATTGAATTTGACATTGGTCTTTATGTTAACACAAGCACAAGCAGCGTGTGTGTTACCTGAGGCCACTTCCCTCCAGCATGGGCTCTGCGTTTGATCTCCTCGACCGTCTTCCGACGAGAATCCTGGTCCGACCGCGACACGAACACTGGCCTTATGAACTTTATCAGAGCTGGTGGGGCAGGGGGAGGGAGAGACAGAAGGGGGAGGGGATGAGGGAAAGACAGTGGGGAGAGAAGGGGAGGTGGGGGAAGGGGGAGAGAGGGAGGGAGGAGATGAGGGAAAGACAGTGGGGAGAGAAGGGGAGGTGGGGGAAGGGGGAGAGAGAGGGAGGGAAATATAGGGATGATCGAGAGATTAGTGATTAGCATGACGACTAATAATAATGTTATAATGAGATAACGAGATAACGAGAATATGCTAATAATTTACACCTGGCCTCACCACCTCCCTACCCATTCACTCCCCTCCCCCCTTCATGTCCAGTCTGATAACCTCACTAACACACATCAGTCAGTATCTATCCGAAGACTATGGTTCTCAACGCCCTTGACAGAGACAGAGAGAAATGAGGAAGACTATGGTACCAGAGAGAGAATGAAGATGAAGACTACAGTACACACTTCCCTAGACAATGAGAAAGACCAAAAAAGTCTGACAAATGAGGAAGAGACAGAGAAAGAGAGAGAGAGGTGAGGAAGACCCATTGTCTTCCTCTTCCTAATATTGAATGAAGATGACAGAGGGATGAAGACGACTACTCACTGCCCCATACAGGGATGTTCTTGCTCTCGGTCTTCATGACGATAGAGGCCATGGTCATGGTGATGGGGATGGCGTCGAAGTAGGACGAGTGAGGGGCCAGGGTGAGGATGGGCGCCTGCGAGGGCGGGGCCGGTTCCCCTTTCACCGTCACCCAATGGAACCCTCCACAGAACCACATGGCACGCATGATCACCCTCAGGGCTATGTCACAGATCCTGTAGGAGAGAGAGAGACAGACGGGTGAGGGTGGGTCTGTTTATTTTCTATTTATACAGGTAAGTCAATTAAAGACATGCTCTGGAACTTTGGCGACTACTAAGTATATATATTTTTTACCTCCCACTTTGGGCTGGATGTGTCAATGAGCTTCAGCCCCCTCACCATTTGAGTGAGAGCACAGCAGAGATTAACAAACAGCAGAGAGAGCAATGATGTGGTTCACATACCTGCACATATGTGACGTAGAACGCAATTTTCAGGGACCACTTTTGGCTCGTGAGTTATACTTTCAGAACTACTGGCTAAAAAGTATATAAAAGTACCGGAGAATCTCTTTAAGAATGCAATTACGACCTGTCACGTGTGTGTGTGTGTTTGCCCTGACACAATGAAGACAATATCCAAACCTTCCACAAGAGGTGGTGATGTCATTATCAGGTGTGTCATTCATTATATATATATATATATATATATATATATACTGCTAAAAAAAATAAAGGGAACACTTAAACAACACAATGTAACTCCAAGTCAATCACACTTCTGTGAAATCAAACTGTCCACTTAGGAACAACACTGATTGACAATACATTTCACATGCCGTTGTGCAAATGGAATAGACAACAGGTGGAAATTATAGGCAATTAGCAAGACACCCCCAATAAAGGACTGGTTTTGCATGTGGTGACCACAGACCACTTCTCAGTTCCTATGCTTCCTGGCTGATGTTTTGGTCACTTTTGAATGCTGGCGGTGCTTTCACTCTAGTGGTAGCATGAGACGGAGTCTACAACCCACACAAGTGGCTCAGGTAGTGCAGCTCATCCAGGATGGCACATCAATGCGAGCTGTGGCAAGAAGGTTTGCTGTGTCTGTCAGCGTAGTGTCCAGAGCATGGAGGCGCTACCAGGAGACAGGCCAGTACATCAGGAGACGTGGAGGAGGCCGTAGGAGGGCAACAACCCAGCAGCAGGACTGCTACCTCCGCCTTTGTGCAAGGAGGAGCACTGCCAGAGCCCTGCAAAATGACCTCCAGCAGGCCACAAATGTGCATGTGTCTGCTCAAACATTCAGAAACAGACTCCATGAGGGTGGTATGAGGGCCCGACGTCCACAGGTGGGGGTTGTGCTTACAGCCCAACACCGTGCAGGACGTTGGCATTTGCCAGAGAACACCAAGATTGGCAAATTCGCCACTGGCGCCCTGTGCTCTTCACAGATGAAAGCAGAATCACACTGAGCACATGTGACAGACGTGACAGAGTCTGGAGACGCCGTGGAGAACGTTCTGCTGCCTGCAACATCCTCCAGCATGACCGGTTTGGCGGTGGGTCAGTCATGGTGTGGGGTGGCATTTCTTTGGGGGGCCGCACAGCCCTCCATGTGCTCGCCAGAGGTAGCCTGACTGCCATTAGGTACCGAGATGAGATCCTCAGACCCCTTGTGAGACCATATGCTGGTGTGGTTGGCCCTGGGTTCCTCCTAATGCAAGACAATGCTAGACCTCATGTGGCTGGAGTGTGTCAGCAGTTCCTGCAAGAGGAAGGCATTGATGCTATGGACTGGCCCGCCCGTTCCCCAGACCTGAATCCAATTGAGCACATCTGGGACATCATGTCTCACTCCATCCACCAACGCCACGTTGCACCACAGACTGTCCAGGAGTTGGCAGATGCTTTAGTCCAGGTCTGGGAGGAGATCCCTCAGGAGACCATCCGCCACCTCATCAGGAGCATGCCCAGGCGTTGTAGGGAGGTCATACAGGCACGTGGAGGCCACACACACTACTGAGCCTCATTTTGACTTGTTTTAAGGACATTACATCAAAGTTGGATCAGCCTGTAGTGTGGTTTTTCACTTTCATTTTGAGGGGGACTCCAAATCCAGACCTCCATGGGTTGATAAATTTGATTTCCATTGATCATTTTTGTTGATTTTGTTGTCAGCACATTCAACTATGTAAAGAAAAAAGTATTTAATAAGATTATTTCATTCATTCAGATCTAGGATGTGTTATTTTAGTGTTCCCTTTATTTTTTTGAGCAGTATATATACACACATATACATATACATATATATACACACACAGTGAGGGAAAAAAGTATTTGATCCCCTGCTGATTTTGTACGTTTGCCCACTGACAAATAAATGATCAGTCTATAATTTTAAATGGTAGGTTTGTTTGAACAGTGAAAGACAGAATAACAACAAAAAAATCAAGAAAAACGCTTTTCAAAAATGTTATAAATTTATTTGCATTTTAATGAGGGAAATAAGTATTTGACCCCTTCTCAAATCAGAAAGATTTCTGGCTCCCAGGTGTCTTTTATACAGGTAACGAGCTGAGATTAGGAGCACACTCTTAAAGGGAGTGCTCCTAATCTCAGCTTGTTACCTGTATAAAAGACAACTGTCCAGAGAAGCAATCAATCAATCAGATTCCAAACTCTCCACCATGGCCAAGACCAAAGAGCTCTCCAAGAATGTCAGGGACAACATTGTAGACCTACACAAGGCTGGAATGGGCTACAAGACCATCGCCAAGCAGCTTGGTGAGAAGGTGACAACAGTTGGTGCGATTATTCGCAAATGGAAGAAACACAAAAGAACTGTCAATCTCCCTCGGCCTGGGGCTCCATGCAAGATCTCACCTCGTGGAGTTGCAATGATCATGAGAACGGTGAGGAATCAGCCCAGAACTACACGGGAGGATCTTGTCAATGATCTCAAGGCAGCTGGGACCATAGTCACCAAGAAAACAAATTGGTAACACACTACGCCGTGAAGGACTGAAATCCTGCAGTGCCCGCAAGGTCCCCCTGCTCAAGAAAGCACATATACAGGCCCGTCTGAAGTTTGCCAATGAACATCTGAATGATTCAGAGGAGAACTGGGTGAAAGTGTTGTGGTCAGATGAGACCAAAATCGAGCTCTTTGGCATCAACTCAACTTGCCGTGTTTGGAGGAGGAGGAATGCTGCCTATGACCCCAAGAACACCATCCCCACCGTCAAACATGGAAGTGGAAACATTATGCTTTGGGGGTGTTTTTCTGCTAAGGGGACAGAACAACTTCACCGCATCAAAGCGACGATGGACGGGCCATGTACCGTCAAATCTTGGGTGAGAACCTCTTTCCCTCAGCCAGGGCATTGAAAATGGGTCATGGATGGGTATTCCAGCATGACAATGACCCAAAACACACGGCCAAGGCAACAAAGGAGTGGCTCAAGAAGAAGCACATTAAGGTCCTGGAGTGGCCTAGCCTGTCTCCAGACCTTAATCCCATAGAAAATCTGTGGAGGGAGCTGAAGGTTTGAGTTGCCAAACGTCAGCCTCGAAACCTGACTTGGAGAAGATCTGCAAAGAGGAGTGGAACAAAATCCCTCCTGAGATGTGTGCAAACCTGGTGGCCAACTACAAGAAACGTCTGACCTCTGTGATTGCCAACAAGGGTTTTGCCACCAAGTACTAAGTCATGTTTTGCAGAGGGGTCAAATACTTATTTCCCTCATTAAAATGCTAATCAATTTATAACATTTTTGACATGCGTTTTTCTGGATTTTTTTGTTGTTATTCTGTCTCTCACTGTTCAAATAAACCTACCATTAAAATTATAGACTGATCATTTATTTGTCAGTGGGCAAACGTACAAAATCAGCAGGGGATCAAATACTTTTTTCCCTCACTGTATGTGTGTGTATATATATATATAAATAAATTCTCTCTCACACACACACACCTCCTCCACCAGGTCTCCACGGCCAGTTCAGATCGTCCCAGACAGGCAGTGAAAGCAAAGGGCCAGGCCAGCAACATGAGGAACACTGCAAAGAACAACCGTACTGGGAACACTGTCACCGTCATCACACCGATCTGAGGGGGGGAGGGAGAGAGAGAGCCAGAGACAAAAGCAAATGGTGATGCATTCATTCATAAAAACACGGAGCGAGAGGGAGACAGAGAGGTACAGATCCTCACATTTTCAAATTAGGCGATTAGCCCACACCACACAGGTCAGGAAAAGCCTCTCTTTCCGTGAAAACAAGTACAACTAGTATAGCTTTGCCTTGGGCCTTATATGTTCTCTCCAGAGTGGTGCTGGTCTACAGATGAGCAGTCTAAGAAAGTTAGTCACGGGGAGGAGGAGGGGAGAGAGCTAGCAAATTAGATTGACCCATCAGGAATGGCTCTGTTGAAGAAGAGACTCAGGCTCGCCTCTAACCATCCAGCAATGACAGACATACAGCTAGTCATCCCACCTAGCCTTCTCCTTGTTTACTCTATTCTCCTTATGTAAGCATGATCACATGGTCCACGCATACAATAGCTCATACTGAAATGCTACAAAAAACGCAAACCAATCCAATGTGATTTCAGGTTTAAATAAAAATATAAAACGGTTCATTTAGTACCAAACTAATTTACGCTTACATCATTAAGGTCAAAGGTCGAAGCATCATCTGAGGTCAAAGCTGATAACTATTGACTTGTCATGCCCTTACAAGGAATATGGTTGTGTGTGCGTGTCAGTGTCATGCCATCACTCCACAATGTCACGGCCAACACTGTTATTTCAGATCCCCCTCCTCTATTCCTCTCCCCCATCTCCATCTCATCTCTCTCCTACTGTGTGCTACAGTAGTGTGTTGTTCTCAATACTGTACATGTTTCTCTCTCTATTGCTTTCTCTATAAATATATTTCCCCCTCTCTCTCTGCCTCCCTACATTACAATGATGTGGTCTCCTTTCCTCTCCCAGGGGACTCGTATTCCTTCTCCTCCCTCTCCATCTATCTGTGTGAGCCCCAGGTGCAGACAGCATGGCCAGATAAATAAATAAACTCTTAATAGGGCTGGTTTCTGACACTCCCCCAAAACACCTAACCGACCCACCTGACCACCACCCCCTTCTGTAATGGACTCATCCAAACTGCACACTAACACAAACATCTAGCAGCCATTCTACTGAGGTTATAATCCTGTTATAACTCCATTACAGACTAAAACCTAACCAGAATTATGACTATCAGTCCCTCCTGTAGAATCAGTCTTTCCCCTATATTTATTTAGCAGCAGAGCACCGTTCCCGCTACTCAAAAAAAGGACGCGCTTTTACAATCAGTGTTAAAATGTGTTACAAGTTGCATATCTTCCTTAGATTCTCATCAGATCGTCTGAGAAACCTCCAAGGCCACTAGCTAGCTATCTTGTGATCCTGGAAGTGTCGCAAACCCTATTAATAGATGTATGTAATAATTGTTAGCTAAGATACAGTAACGTTACACTCACAAAATCTTTTTTTGGGTTAATATAGAATTGGCTGGTGATGTCATTGAGATCAAGAGATAAAATTATAACTGTCCTCGATTTTCAGATCGTGCCTTTTACAACTGCCATTCTTGTGAGCTGGTCTCCATGTTTGTTGTGAGGGAGGATTCAGGGAGTTAAAAAGGAAAGCTTTGTGGTGTGAAATATTCAGGAGGAGACTTAGTGGAGGTGTGTGTGAGAGAGAGGAGGCATGCAAGAGATAGAGAGAGATGCATGCCTTTTGTTTCCTTAAACGCACGGCACACACACTTCCTCCCATCCTCCAGGGTTGGCAAGGGCCATTAGGGGAAGGCTCTCCACCCCCTACACACACACACACACACACGTAGGGGCGGAGTCTACTCAGCAGGAAAGCATCTTCCTGCCCTATAAAAGGTGTCTGCATGCTTCCCATCCGAAACAGTTCGTGCATATATTATGACGACATGTTGTGATGTTTTTGTTCGTTTGGTCTTCAAAAAATGTTCAGAGGCAAGCCGAAGTTCGGTAGGCAAAGTCAACGCCCCTTCGTCGGTGATTGGTCAACAGTAGGGATTCTTCAATGAAGTTCCCTCTTGTGTTTGTTGTCATTTAACAAGAGACTACTCGGTTTCATGCACATTTTTTCATTTGAGAAATACTGCACCAAACATCGTAGTTAGATGTGCAACTAAGATTTCCTCTGCAAAAACTTCAATTAATGACAGATTTCTTGAGTAATCTTAATTATGACTATTTTGAGGACGTGTATACTGGCTACGGCGTCTCAAGATGGACAAACTGTACTATTACCACTTTTTTTAGTTTTTTTAAGCGAAGGTCTTTTAAAACCTTTTCCTGCAGTCGAATGGCCAAAAGCTGAAAATCTGGTGTGTCGATGTCAAACAGGCCCTCAGATAGCCAAATCACCAGTTGAAATCTTTATCAGCCTCTCTCCCCTCCAACACAGGGCCATAAATCGCAAGCTGTCAGCAGGGCCCCTCAGTCTCCCTCACACCTACATGTAAAAATTGCACCAAAACTGAGAAATCTACTTTGAGAACTCCTTTTCCAATACACAAACTTTCAAAAGTTTCAATTTAAAAAAATCTATATTATATATTTTCCCTGCTTACATGTCAGCCATTGAAACCCATGCACATCCGGGTTGATCACAACAATACATTTTCCAATAAACCATTGGTTAAAAAACATGACTTACCTTTTATTGAAGCTTTGGCTGTTATGTAATTGATCCATGATGATCTTTTGATAATCCTTTCAGATGTACTGGAATGTCCTCATTCGCATAGTCCAAAATGGCTAATGCTAACGTGGGACGTTTTGGCTACTCATAAAATTGATTTCTGGGAAAGATGAGCAAATATTCTGAGCAGCACCTATGCATATTCGGTTTCTACAGTCTTTCAGATTTCCAACAATGTATGTCCTATTCGGTTGAAGTATCACGACACAGCATGTATGCGTATCCATCCCTACGCAGTGACTCAGCACGTGCCTCAGACAACAGTGTTGAGGGTGGCTTGTATGCAAGGCACACATGACCCACTGGCGCGCTGCGCTTTTGTATCGATCTAGTAAACAATTGAATAGGTATTTTTCATTCCGTCTATCCTGATGGTTTTTGGGTCACATATACATAGCCAGCACTGCCCATCCCCCACCAAAATGCTTGGACCCCAACAAAACATGGCTAGTTGCTTTTCAGCAGGTGGACTTGTTTTGGTGGAAGACTCATTCGAGCAAGCAAGGGAGGCCTTATTGCTGTTGGACATTACTTGTAAGTAGCGATATTTGTATTGATTACTGGTTTTATTGTTATAGCTAGAATGTGTAGTTATTACTATAATGTTAGTTACATAGTGCAACGTGTGTACAGGTTTCATAGAACGCCATTGTAGCCTGTGTAGCTAGTAACTTTCATGCACTATATATAGTTGAAGTCAGAAGTTTACATACACTTAGGTTGGAATCATTAAAACTCATTTTTCAACCACTCCACACATTTCTTGTTAACAAACTATAGTTTTGGCAAGTCGGTTAGGACATCTACTTTGTGCATGACGAAAGTAATTTTTCCAACAATTGTTTACAGACAAATTATTTCACTTATAATTCACTGAATCACAATTCCAGTGGGTCAGAAGTTTACATACACTAAGTTGATTGTGCCTTTAAACAGCTTGGAAAATTCCAGAAAAGGATGTCATGGCTTTAGAAGCTTCTAATAGGCTAATTTACATAATTTGAGTCAATTGGAGGTGTACCTGTGGATGTATTTCAAGGCCTACCTTCAAACTCAGTGCCTGGGAAATGGGAAATGAAAAGAAATCAGCCAAGACCTCAGAAAAAAATGTGTAGACCTCCACAAGTCTGGTTCATCCTTGGGAGCAATTTCCAAACGTCTGAAGGTACCACGTTCATCTGTACAAACAATAGTACGCAAGTATAAACACCATGGGACCACACAGCCATCATACCGCTCAGGAAGGAGACGCGTTCTGTCTCCTAGAGATGAACGTACTTTGGTGCAAAACGTGCAAATCAATCCCAGAACAGCAAAGGACCTTGTGAAGATGCTGGAGGACACAGGTACAAAAGTATCTATATCCACAGTAAAACGAGTCCTATATCGACAACCTGAAAGGCCTGAAAGGCCGCTCAGCAAGGAAGAAGCCACTGCTCCAAAACTGCCATAAAAAAGCCAGACTACGGTTTGCAACTGCACATGGGGACAAAGATCGTACTTTTTGGAGAAATGTCCTCTGGTCTGATGAAACAAAAATAGAACCGTTTGCCCATAATGACCATCGTTATGTTTGGAGGAAAAAAGGGGTCGCTTGCAAGCCGAAGAACACCATCCCAACCGTGAAGCACAGGGGGTGGCAGCATCATGCTGTGGGGGTGCTTTGCTGCAGGAGGGACTGGTGCACTTCACAAAATAGATGGCATCATGAGGAAGGAAAATTATGTGGATATATTGAAGCAACATCTCATCAGTCAGGAAGTTAAAGTTTGGTCGCAAATGGTCTTCCAAATGGACAATGATCCCAAGCATACTTCCAAAGTTGTGGCAAAATGGCTTAAGGACAACAAAGTCAAGGTATTGGAGTAGCCATCACAAAGCCCTGACCTCAATCCTATAGAAAACTTGTGGGCAGAACTGAAAAAGCGTGTGCGAGCAAGGAGGCCTACAAACCTGACTCAGTTACACCAGCTCTGTCAGGAGGAATGGGCCAAAATTCACCCAACTTCTTGTGGGAAGCTTGTGGAAGGCTACACGAAATGTTTGACCCAAGTTAAACAATTTAAAGGCAATGCTACCAAATACTAATTGAGTGTATGTTATTATTATGTAAACTTCTGACCCACTGGGAATGTGAAATAAATAAAATCTGAAATAAAGAGAGTCGCACACTCTATATAAATAAACTCCCAGTAATTTATTGGGTAAAACGCCAACGTTTCAGCATCACTGTGCCTTCTTCAGGGTGTTCATGGATAAAAGTCTATAAAGAGATTGGGATAAGATATCAGCTGAATTTCTTGGCCACATGTTGAAAAGATGCCTCACTGGAGGGGAATATTGACCCCAATAAGCATCTCTGAATAGTAAACTCAGTGTACAGCTCAATAAACACACTAGACGTTTTGTTATGTATTTCAGTCTTCTGTGATGTACATAAAGTGTAATATTGGGATGCAAACTCAAAATTGAATACATTTCAACTCTATCTGACATGGTACAGGTGTATGTTTTTTAAGCCAATAACCATGGGTGTGAGGTGTACACTTTTGTTTCAAAGTAGATTTGTTTAAGACTACCAAGAAACCGTCTGCGTGACCCTGATTTAGCCCACTGCATTAAAGTGATACATCGGGATTTTGGCAATGAGGCCCTTTATCTACTTCCCCAGAGTCAGATGAACTTGTGGATACCATTTTCATGTCTCTGTGTCCAGTATGAAGGTAGTTAGAGGTAGTTTCGCAAGCCAATGCTAACTAGCATTAGCGCAATGACTGAAAGTCAATGTGTATCTGCCATGCTACCTTCTCTTCTTCCTCCACCCCTCTCCCTCCCGGTCTGTGAGGGATAGCCCCAGATCCCCCTCTCCTCCTGTCTGTCAGTATAATGAACCAACAGCTTGAAGTGCTTATTAGCTGTTCACAAGCTGAAGCGGCTGTTATTATTTAGTTAAATTATCATTGCAGCCAGGGAGAAATGCAAACCAGAAGGACTTCAGTTCTGCAAGGGCTAACTAACCTTACTAATGTCAACACACACAAACAGGCACATCAAAGAATGCAAATACTTTATCATTAGGCTAAATGGCAAACAGACAGAGACCAGCTACTACAATACAGACCCCTCAGCTGTTCAGTCAGTGAGTGACATCTTTATTTGGGATGTTTTGTTTTGTTGGTTCAGTGTGTTGGTTCATTGTGACGTTAATTCATTTGAGGTGTTTTTGTTGTTTTGTAAAAACAGGCCATCTGGGAGAGAGCAAGAGAGGCCTGAGGGAGGAATGTGCTTACACGTGTTGGTGTGACACACACACACACACACACACGTCACCCAGTCATACGGCTCTGTCGTCAGCGGCATGAAGGGAAGTAGTGTTTATGTTCAGGCAGAGAGAGAGACAGTTCTTAAATGAACCAGTGTGTGTGTCTACATAGAATGGAAAAACACACTGACAACTCCACAGTAACAGCAGGTAGTAGGCTAGTGAGAACAAGACTCAGACAGACACCTGTTACAGTTTACTGACTCAACTAGCAACCTTCACATCTCTGATTGGCCCAAGAGTGTGTGTATGTGTCTACTCCAGCACCTTTTTCTGTCCAACTAGCCTAACTATAACTTTGATCTGAGTTTAATGATAATTTAGATGTAATCTTTGACAGAAACATGCAACAAACGATAACAATGCAATTGAATACACTGACTGTCTTCTAAGAAATACTATTTTAAAAAGCCAACGTGCTCATGTTAGAATAAAATAGAAACGCACATTTAATAAGGCTTGGCCTAGATCCAGAGACTGAAATAATTAGCACCAGATTCAAAAGCTAAATACTGTTCCAAAGTCTCAGTCCTTTGTGCTCCTTTATCAAGTCACGTTCTGCTACTTTATCGAGTCACGTTCTGCCCCTTGTCTCTGTGTGCAGTGTGTGTGTGTGTGTGTGTGTGTGTGTGTGTGTGTGTAAAGCATGCCTCCTGCTGCAGGAGTAAACTTGTTTGCCGTGTTCCTCTTCCACTGCTGGCACAAAATGTTCTGTGCCAAAACGGAGGCCAGTTTCCTGGACCCTGTAGGGCAGGGCTCTCCAACCCTGTTCCTGGAGATTAACCGTCCTGTAGGTTTTCACTCCAACCCTAATCTAGCACACCTGATTCTAATAATTAGCTGCTTGATAAGCTGAATCAGGTTAGTTACAACTGGGGTTGGAGTGAAAACCTACAGGAGGGTAGCGCTCCAGGAACAGGGTTGGAGAGCGTTGCTGTAGTGTACAGTATATGGCTGAGAGTGACTGGGACACACCCTGGTCCTGGGGCTGTGTGAGAGCAGAGAGGCCATGGAGACAGGAACGGGACAAACCACATTTCCTGCACTTCCAGGAAGAACGCTAGCTGAGTATTGGTACACTTCCTAACTTCCTGCCAAATGTATGACCATATTAGAGACACATATTTCCCTCAGATTACACAGACCCACAAATAATTAAAAAACAAATCCAATTTTGATAAACTCCCATATCTATTGGGTGAAATACCATAGTGTGCAATCACAGCAGCAAGATTTGTGACCTGTTGCCACAAGAAAAGGGCAACCAGTGAATAACAAACAACATTGTAAATACAACCTATATTTATGTTTATTTATTTTCCCTTTTGTACATTAACAATTTGCACATCATTACAACACTGTATATCGACAATGACACTTGAAATGTCTTTATTCTTTTGGAACTTTTGTGAGTGTAATGTTTACTGTTAATTTTATATTGTTTATTTCACTTTTGTTTATTATCTATTTCACTTGCTTTGGCAATGTAAACATGTTTCCCATGCCAATAAAGCCCTTAAATTGAATTGAAATTGAATTGAGAGAGGTGGGCAAAAGGCAACACTGGCAATACATGGACCATTTGATGTAAACACAGGGACTCAATTATCCATTCCCTGGCTCAAACCCCTTTTGTTTACACCAAACTGTCAATGACCTGTCAATGACCTGTCAATGACCTGTCAATGACCTGTCAACCCCCCCCCCACCCACCCCCCTCCCCTCCGTGTGTGTGAAAGAGAAAGAACGTGTGTGTGACCCAGATCTATTCAAAAGCCACAGTAGGCAAGCCTCCCTTGAACAGTGAAGGCTGTTCAGTCATTTAGGACAGTTTTACAGTTAACTGCTATTGGACATGGAAATCCACTGCAAACGTTTGAAATGCAAATGATGAGAATCAAGATCACATTTACATTACATCATTTAGCAGACGCTCTTATCCAGAGCGGTTGGCTCTTATCAATAGGTTGGCTCTGATGTTTTGCAAATGAAAACTCTTCTTCTTTATAGAATCACATCTCCATAAAAGACACCATATGTATAGATTTTAGTTTAGTCCCTACATGTAACTTATGGTCAATATATACCAATCATTCTAGATACCAGCTTCGACCATAACGTTCAGCGGCACGCTTGAAAGGCATAGAACACTTGGTGGGCGGAGAACATCAAGTACCTAACTAGCATGCTAGTTAGCTGCTAGCTACTGTAGCACAGAGTGCCGTTAACTGACCAGCTAGCTGGCAAAATAAAACATTTAAAAAATACTTTGAATGTTCATAAAATACGATGTCGTCAAAAGCTGAACGGTTGCTTACCCTGATTTTCTCCAAGGGGGTGAATCGTAACTCGTGAACGAAAGGATTTCTGAAAGGGGTTGGCAAGTCCGACCCATCTCTAATCTCCAAGGAAGGATGCTGCTTATCTGGCAACTTCATTACTGAAAACAGATTAACTAACATTTATCAGTTCGCAACGGTTTTTCTATTCCACAATAAACAGGCAATGTTTCTTTTAAACCGACTACCTAGGCTAGCTACACAGGTACGGATGGCGTTGATCGGTAGGCTCGCGGAACATCAATTCGTTTTCGCTTGTGAGGGAGATGTGGGGCGGGGAAGGGAGGATGGCTAATTTCAATATACTGGGAATGCGCATGTGTAGCAACGAGCCATACACTGGCCACTTTGGAAGGTGTTAATCTTTTTTACAGTGGTGCCAGAATTTCAACACACATGCCACACACACACACACTCACACACACACGAGTCACTACACAGGCACAGGCACACTCACAGGGATAACTGATATGAGTTTTGTGGGACACGACCTCTTTTCCTGGAATGTGTCTTTGAGATGTGCCAGATACCTTTGAGTGTGTATGTGTGTGAAGGTGTAGTACTTGCTCTCTCACTTGATCCACCTGTCAATTTGTTACTCAGTTTGACATCTTTCTGTCTCTCTTGTTTACCTTCATATGTAAAAACAGTACTTGGCTGTAGGTGACAATATTCCAGAAAATAGCTCAACATTATTGTTCATTCAGTCTGGATGTCATTATAATTTAGGATGATTTTCATTGAAAGTTGTAGCTCTATCAGGACAGGAGAGGCCCTGTCAGAGAAATGGCAGCAGGGTCAACAGTTAAAGAATAATTATTCTTCTTCATGTGGCTTTCCGGCAGACTGGACGCTATGTTGCGTATTGCTGCCTTTCGCAGGTCGGAGTGCGGATTGCACATTTTGGTCACCAAAATAAAGGGAAAAGGGGAATGGGAAAAACTTAAATTGCACCACAATCTAAACCTGCACCTATACACTATTCTCAAAAACCCACCACCCCATCCCACTACTTTGGCCCTAAACGATCCTACACTAGGCCGTCGGGCCTGGGAGGATGGAACCCCTTCTCTCAAAACTTCCTGTAGATCTTCTGCACTTAAATCTCTCACACCCAAATATTTCTCTGCTGCTGCAACTACCACATCTATCTTCTGTGATTTCCGCTCCATCAGTACAGTGCAGTTGATCACCATGGTTATAAAAGCAAGAAATCCAACCTTACTAAAACTCATCCTCTCTGGATCTCCCTCTTCAGGCCTACGCACTGGGGGCCTCCCAGTCGACTCACTCACCCTTGGGCTATCCTCTACTCTCTTCACTGCCTCAGCATAGGAAACTTTCTGCCACACTCGAACTCTGGCAATCTCAACCTGTCTCTCTCTCACAGGGAACTTCGGATCCCCAGCTACATGGGCGCCCCCACAGTTGACACACTGTGCTTTCTCTATCCCAACTGTACACTCCCTCTAACTATACCCTCCTGCACACTTCTCACATGGTGGGATCTCCCTTCTACACACTGCAACGTTTCCAAATCCTTGGCACCTAAAGCACCGAAGCGGGTTTTAAACATAGGTCCTCACAGAATAGCAAACATAACCTAACCTGACCTTATCAGGTAGAAACTCTGTGTCAAAGCTCAACAAGACAGACAGGGTATTCTCAGTCTCGCCTTTGTCATTGGGTCTACGTCTCACCAAACGGCGGACATCACAAACACTAGGAATATTCATTTTCATTTGATCCACCTCTACACTCAACGCTACCCCACTGATCACCCCTTTTAGCAGCACCCTGCTCCGGAGAGCAAAGCACACCACAGGTTGAGCCCCGAGCCACGTGACTCAAAGTGCCTGCTTCCTCTTGGAGGCGGATACAAAAAATAAAATACAATAAAAATAAAACTTCTCTAAAGTTTCACAGATGTAAACATTCCAAATTTGTCCTTTACCCGACATAATGTTTGGGTCGGCCAAAAAGCAAGAATCTCACTCCTACCGGTCCAAAATCATTTCTGGTAGGATTCTCAGGTCAAACATTGGAAGTCTCCACTACACCTGGACTGGCTCAACTTCAGAGCGCTCACCACTGCCGTCTGACTCCATTTCGAGATCAGCAAGGTTCTCAAGAGAGCATGAAGACCTATAAGTAACATTACTTGGTTTGTAATCAGGACATTTGGGTACAGTGCATTCGGAAAGTATTCAGACCCCTTCCCTTTTCCACATTTTGTTACGTTACAGCCTTATTCTAAAATTGATGAAATATGTATTTTCTCATCAATCTACACACAATACCCCATAATGACAAAGCGAAAACAGTTGTTTAATTATTTTTGCAAATGTATACAAAATAAAAAAGAGAAATACCTTATTTACATACTGTAAATATTCAGACCCTTTGCTATGAGACTCGAAATTGAGCTCAGGTGCATCCGGTTTCCATTGACCATCCTTGAGATGTTTCTACAACTTGATTGGAGTCCACCTGTGGTAAATTCAAATGATTGGACATGATTTGGAAAGGCACACACCTGTCTATATAAGGTCCCACAGTTGACAGTGCATGTCTGAGCAAAAACCAAGCCATGAGGTTGAAGGAATTGTCCGTAGAGCTCCAAGACAGAATTGTGTCGAGGCACAGCTCTGGGGAAGGGTACCAAAAATGTCTGCAGCATTGAAGGTCCCCAAGAACACAGTGGCCTCCATCATTCTTAAATGGAAGAAGTTTGGAACCACCACACTCTTCCTAGAGATGGCTGCCCGGCCAAACTGAGCAAACGGGGGAGAAGGGCCTTGGTCAGGGATGTGACCAAGAACCCGATGGTCACTCTGACAGAGCTTCAGAGTAACTCTGTGGAGATGAGAGAACCTTCCAGAAGGACAACTATCTCTGCAGCACTACACCAATCAGGCCTTTGTGGTACAGTGGCCAGATGGAAGCCACTCCTCAGTAAAAGGCACATGACAGCCCGCTTGGAGTTTGCCAAAAGGCACCTAAAGGACTCTCAGACCATGAGAAACAAGATTCTCTGGTCTGATGAAACCAAGATTGAACTCTTTGGCCTGAATGCCAAGCGTCACGTCTGGAGGAAACCTGGCACCATCCCTACGGTGAAGCATGGTGGTGGAAGGTTCACCTTCCAACAGGACAATGACCCTAAGCACACAGCCAAGACAATGCAGGAGTGGCTTCGGGACAAGTCTTTGAATGTCCTTGAGTGGCCCAGCCAGAGCCCGGACTTGAACCCGATCAAACATCTCTGGAGAGACCTGAAAATGGCTGTGCAGCGACGCTCCCCATCCAACCTGACAGAGCTTGAGAGGATCTGCAGAGAAGAATTGGAGAAACTCCCCAAATACAGGTGTGCCAAGCTTGTAGCATCATATCCAAAAGGACTCGAGGTACAAAGTATTGAGTAAACGGTCTGAATACTTATGTAAATGCAATATTGCCGTAGATTATTATTTTTTGTGCAAAAATGTCTAAAAACCTGTTTTTGCTTTGTCATTATGAGGTATTTTGTGTAGATTGATGAGGGGGAAAAAACAATTTTATCTATTTTAGAATAAGGCTGTAACGTAACAAACTGTAAGTCGCTCGGGATAAGAGCGTCTGCTAAATGACTAAAATGTAAAAAAAAAAAAAAAAAAAAGTATGTTACTTTACTACCTACAGTGGGGAGAACAAGTATTTGATACACTGCCGATTTTGCAGGTTTTCCTACTTACAAAGCATGTAGAAGTCTGTACATTTACATTTACATTTTAGTCATTTAGCAGACGCTCTTATCCAGAGCGACTTACAGTTAGTGCATACATAAAAATTAATTTTAAAAAAATCATACTGGTCCCCCGTGGGAATCGAACTCACAACCCTGGCGTTGCAAGCGCCATGCTCTACCAACTGAGCTACACGGGACTAGTAGCCTAGGAAATACAGTCGTGGTCAAAAGTTTTGAAAATGACAAGTATTGGTCTCCACAAAGTCCGCTGCCCCAGTGTTGATGATGGCAATTTGCATATACTCCAGAATGTCATGAAGAGTGATCAGATGAATTGAAATTAATTGCAAAGTCCCTCTTTGCCATGAAAATGAACTTAATCCCCCAAAAACATTTCCACTGCATTTCAGCCCTGCCACAAAAGGACCAGCTGCCATCATGTTAGTGATTGTCTCGTTAACACAGGTGAGAGTGTTGACGAGGACAAGGCTGGAGATCAGTCTGTCATGCTGATTGAGTTAGAATAACAGACTGGAAGCTTTAAAAGGAGGGTGGTGCTTGAAATCATTGTTCTTCCTCTGTCAACCATGGTTACCTGAAAGGAAACACGTGCCGTCATCATTGCTTTGCACAAAAAGGGCTTCACAGGCAAGGATATTGCTGCTAGTAAGATTGCACCTAAATCAACCATTTATCGGATCATCAAGAACTTCAAGGAGAGAGGTTCAATTGTTGTGAAGAAGGCGTCAGGGCGCCCAAGAAAGTCCAGCAAGCGCCAGGACCGTCTCCTAAAGTTGATTCAGCTGCGGGATCAGGGCACCACCAGTGCAGAGCTTGCTCAGGAATGGCAGCAGGCAGGTGTGAGTGCATCTGCACGCACAGTGAGGCGAAGACTTTTGGAGGATGGCCTGGTGTCAAGAAGGGCAGCAAAGAAGCCACTTCTCTCCAGGAAAAACATCAGGGACAGACTGATATTCTGCAAAAGGTACAGGGATTGGACTGCTGAGGACTGGGGTAGAGTCATTTTCTCTGATGAATCCCCTTTCCGATTGTTTGGGCCACCTGGAAAACACCTTGTCCGGAGAAGACAAGGTGAGCGCTACCATCAGTCCTGTGTCATGCCAATCCTGAGACCATTCATGTGTGGGGTTGCTTCTCAGCCAAGGGAGTGGGCTCACTCACAATTTTGCCTAAGAACACAACCATGAATAAAGAATGGTACCAACACATCCTCCGAGAGCAACTTCTCCCAACCATCCAAGAACAGTTTGGTGACGACCAATGCCTTTTCCAGCATGATGGAGCACCTTACCATAAGGCAAAAGTGATAACTAAGTGGCTTGCTGTAATTTTTATCATAGGTACACTTCAT